ACTAAAAATGGCTACATAATATTTTGACTATCTCGAAAAGAGACCCACGAAAACATTACACTCTGCTACACAATTTGCCCACCAATTATTTAATACATTGTCCTAACTCTAAAATGAACTTTCTCTCCCAGGGCTGTCAAGTCCAGCACGGGGAATATAGTCAACGATATTGTAATAACTATGTATGGTGTCAGGCAGATAATATAGTCAATGATATTATAATAACTATATTTGGTGTCAGGCAGATGCCAGACTTACCGGGGTGATCGCGTGGTAATCATGTCTAATCACTACGTTGTATAGCTGAAATGATATAATACTGTATGTCCACTATAATTGAAAGAAAAGTAATTAATAAATTGAACTTTACCTACCTAAATTATACAGTAAAACTTACATTGTGTAAAATGTAATCTCTAATATGGAAGGACCAAGGTGGCTGAATATTAATTAATTAAGCTCAGTTAGATCTATTATTCAAACATGTTCCCCTTGCTGTGCAATATGAAGACAATATGATGGCCTGAAGGGTGTGTGTACACAGAAGGGGCGAGACATCAGAGAGGAGCTGGACAGCACCCTAAGATTCGGCATTTCAAAATACCGCATGGTCAACTTTTCTCTTAAAGCCCCCATACAGGTACACTTTAAAAATGATCAAAATTCATTTACTCAGCAAATATAAGGAGCAGCATCCCACCGCAATGGGTCCAGTACTATGGGACCTGGAGCCCAACACATGACCCAACTTCTCAAATAGGCGCGTCTTTATAAAACAGAGATGCTGGCCACCCTGGACAGTGCCTGTGCAAGCTGGAATAATACACAGGAGCAGGGTGTGAGTGTGATCAAAATCACACATATTTGCACACCTTTTCAGAACCGGCCTTCCTCCCAGGAGAGTCCAATACTGAGGGGCTGCACACTCAGCTCCCCATCTTGTTTTGATACCAGTAGCCTCACCCTTAACAGGCCCAACGATCTGCCCCCACACCCCTGTGCTGGACGTGCGAGGGGGGTCCCTGCCTCGAGGTGTCTCCAATCTGGAGTTCAGAGACAGTGATTTTCCTGAGTTTGAACTAAGAACTGAGCATGGTTTTGGTGGGAGAGGGGCTTTCCAGCAGGGACCTGAGAGGGCTGGGTGTGTCTGGGGCACAGGAGACGAGGTCAGACAGGGAGGCACGGGGCAGATACCCACCGGCCGGCACGCCAGTTGATATTCCTCAGGTCTGGCTGGCTCTGCCTGTGCTTAGAGGTCACCTTCCTGACCACCGCACTCTGCGCACCCCTGTGCCCTCCCGCAGCAAGCACCCCGTCCTTTTTCATTACAGCCCTTATCACAGTCGCGGTTACATAACTGTGTGATGATGTGATAAATAATCTGTGTTCCCCACTAGAATAAACGCGAAGCTCAGTCCAGGGAAGGCCCATGTCTGTTTTATTCAGTTCTGTATCCCGGAGCCTGCTGAGTGTATCGCCAACCCAAAATCCACAGCTAACATTTTATGGAGGGAACAAATGAAAGCTGGCACGAAGAAGCCGACCCAAGAAGTGTCCCGAGCCGGGCAGAGCAATCAGAGATGGCAGCTCAGGGGCAGATCAGAGGGGACCGGGGGTGAGTCCGGTGGGGAGGGGTAGCAGGTGGCGCCACTCACTGGACTGGGAACACAGGAAGGAAGACACATTTCCTGAGCATCAACAACCTGTGAGAACAGAGTAGAAAATGTGCTTGTGGCCCTCAAGCGCTATGACTGTAAAACTATTTAGACCCAACCCAGCTGCATTAAAACGGGATGGTTTCTATTCACAGGCTGACAAACATCCACACACTGAAGTTTAGATTTTTTTTTTCAAGCTTCTTCATCGACATTCTTCCCAGGTACACGGGCTATGCCCAAGGCTGGCCCTGGTCTGGGGACAGAGAAATCCAAGGTCTCTGCCTTCAAGGACCTGGCCGCCCTTTGGGCTTGAGAAAGGTAATTCCGTGAACGGAGGCCCACGGAGGCCTGTCCTGTTAGCTACCCTCCGGAGCAGGGATTTCCTAACCTGCGTCCCATTTCCCGGCCAACGTGTGGCCAAGAGTGGCCTAGGAGCCTGCCTTTGGCAAGACCAACAGACCAATCTGGCCTGAGGCTGGAGACACTCCGGAACGTAAGACATCACGGCGCATGGGCAGACGATGCCCTCTGACTCTGAAACAGCTACCGAGGAGCCACAGAGCGGCAGATTGGGGGCCGGGACACGGCACGGAGAGGGGATAAGGCCTGGTCTGTCGTGAAAGCCTACCTGAGCAGAGGCCCGACGCTGGCGGTGCCAAAGCAGAATCTCGGGAGGCTCTGGAAGTGACAGCAGAGAGATACACGCTCAGGAACAATAAAGCAGAGATCTTCTTTAGCTGCGGTGCTCCCATACCATCAGCAAAAGTATGGTCTCCCGTGGGACAGAAGGCCTCTACCCCAAGCACGTGGACAGAGAAACAGATGAGGGAGGGGCCCACAGTGTGGGTGATACAGCCTCAGGTCTCACTGAGTCCCGGGCACTTCACATCAGCTCCTCCCAAAAGATAGCAAAATCCCCGGACCCATCCCCCTCCATCCCCAAAGCGATGGCCCTACTCCTCCCCCTTCCTTTTCCTATTCTTTAAAAAAAAAAAAAGAACAGCTGCACCGTTTCTACCTCAACTCCCTTTCACCCACTTGGATCTGAGATCTCCCCTCCGCCACTTGGCCTTGACTTCTCAGCCTCCCTGAACTCTGAGAGCCCTTCCCCCTTTTCTCCACTGGAAAGCCCTACCTGTTCTCCACATTCAGCCATCGCCCCCTCTGGGAAGCCTTCCCAAGTCAGACTCCTTGTCCCCATCTCTGTGCTTCTGCGGCGCGAAGCATTCACCAGACCCTACTGTTCGCCTTGGCGTCCCCAACGGCCTGTGAGCTATTGCTACCCTCTAACCCGGTGCCCCAGAAACAGACACACAAAGGCTCCATGAATAAATGATCGTAGGTTAAGTTTACATTCAAAACTGCTAGAATCCAGTCAACAGTTCCTCCTGAACTGCTCTAAGAATTGACCCGCGCATACGCCCAGGCTGGGAAGGACCTTAATTCTCAGTGATAGTTTCCCTAGAAAAGCATGTTGGCTAAAACGCTATCTTTTGGTTGTTAAAGCACACAGGGCTGGCATAGAGCTAAATCAAGACTCTAAGAGCCCCTTACCTATGTTTTTAATTCCTGTAATTCTGACCACGTGCAAAGTTCACCGGTACCCTTCTCTCCCTAAGAATGCCGTGAGCTCCTAGGCTCAGACAGGCTGCTGCCCCGGAGAAATCATGCCTTATTTATTCCAAAGCGCACACTGCTGCCTATCGACAAAACAAACACCTCTTATTTTCTACTTAGTTTCACTTTCACACGAAACAGCCGCAGTAAACTTCGGACAAATAGTTATTTCCTGCGCCGAGGAAAAATACGAAAGCCCTTCCATTTTAACAAAGGCATTTAAAAGCCTTCGTTTCGGGATTCTATTGGAACCCCGAAGGCCCATCTATAATAGATTGCAGTTCTAGAAAAATGAAAATCAGTATAACTTCTGGGTCCTCATAGGCTTTCCATGAATGGATCTCATTGCAAGAAATTGTGTCCAGAATAGTAAAAAGAGAAATTAATGGGGCGAGAGTAATTTTTGGTGCATAAAATTTTAAAAAGAGACAACGATACGTTTGCAACAGGGAAAGGTGGCACGCAAAGCCTCTGCCTGGGAAGCCTGGAAAATGGAGCATGAAGAGAAGTGAACAAACACCATGCATTTCATGTTCAGTCACTGCACGGCTTCCATACATGACCTTGGGAATGACATGTGCCTGCTCTCATGTCTAGTTCTGTAAAATGGGAATGTCATCTGTTTTCCTGGGGAAAGTTAAACAGCCGGATAAAAGAATCAATACTTTTTTTTTTTTAAAGGGGAACTTGTCTAATTAGCAATGCTTTAAACACCACTTGTACAGTACATTCCTCTTCGAGAACCCCATTCCAAGAGAAATATTTAAGCAGACGGTTGAAGACAGATTTCCTTAAGGGAATGATTTTATAAATCTGGAAGGCAATGTAACAAGATTATAAATTAACAGAGTGGTTACATAAGCCTTGACAACCCCAGGCTTTAAAGTGCACCGATATACATTCTGATGAATTAGACGGACTTGGGAATAGTGTCCCAACTCTGCATATATTGGACCCAAACTGAAGAATCTGACGTTTGATTGGAATTGGGTGAAAATTCAATAGGACGTCCAACATTTGGGGTTCCATCACTTGCAATCCATGCTTCTCACCTTTCACCAGAAAATGAGAAAGGCATTAAGTCAGCTTTCACATGGGCTCCTAAGACTCTGAGAATGCATTCAATTAAATAAGGAGTAGGGTTTGGGGGGAGAGTAACTTGACAGTTTGACAGGTCCCATATCCACAGACATCTACAGATTTAAGAACCCTACTGATAAATTTCCCCCAAATGCTGGACTTGACACCAAGTCCCTAGGAAGCTATCAGATTGCATCTGGTCCAACTGTCAGGACCAGCACAGCTTCAGGAACACCCCCCCCGGGGGGGAGAAGAAAAGGCTGTCACTCTCCCGGATCCCAAGTCCAAGTAAAAGGCAGCAGGTCTTTGTAAAAATGGTCCAGAAAGAAATCAACAGGCGAGGACTGCGGGAAAGAACGGAGGTTTCCCCATCTGAAAAAATCCTAGCTCTCCCTCGGGAATGGCACTGCTCCTCCTCCCTTACCCCGCTGCCCTTTCTCTGCCGACAACAATATCCCCATTCTATTGTAAGGCTGCAGTTGGACCGAGGAAGCCCCTTGCTGCAGCCAGATTTCCAGATTCGTTGTGGGAAAAAAAAAAAAAAAAAGGAAAACACATTCGTAGAATACACACACTGCACGGGAAGAGCTGGGGCGCGGGGGCCCTGCGGGCGCCGCACTCGGCCCGCTCCGGGGCGGGGAGGGGATGCGGGCGCCTCCCGAGGTGCCGCAATCCCGCCGCGGCCGCAAGGGCAGGGCCTCCTCCGGGCGCCCGCGGCCGCTCGCCGCAGTGACGGCTCCCGCCCGGGCCCCGCCGCCGCCGCCGCCTCGCTGCCAGGCCGCGTCGCCGTCGCACCGGGTCGGGGCCGCCGCAGCCCGGGCCCCGCATCTGCCCGGGCCGCGCTGCAGCCGGCGCGGGGAGCGCGGATCGCGCAACTTACTTTCCGCCAGCGGCGGGCGCCCCTGCACGGGCGGCCAGCCCGCAACGGCAGAGGCCCGCTGCGCACCCCGGCCCAGGGCCGCCGCGCTCGGCCGCGATCGGCGCTCCCCCTACCTCAGCCCGCGGGCGGGCGTCCGTCTGCAGCGGCCGCGGCTCCGAAGACTCCCTCCCGGCCGCCGATTCCCCGCAGCCAGAGCTAATCATAATACCGAGCGGGCGGGCGGCCGGCAGCGGGGAGGGGCGGGGCCGAGCTGCGCCTGCGCGGGCCGCGCGTCACTGTGACGCCAGCGCGGGGGCGGGGCCTCGGGAGGGGAGGGGCGGGGCCTTGGGAGGGGCGGGGCGCACCTGCCTGCCCTGCTGCTCGGGGCTGGAGGGCATCCGGGAAGCAGCGTCGGGGGGCGCTGCGAGTCTGGGGTGCGGGCGGGCGATTAGGAGGCCGGCGAGGACCCCCGAGGAGGAAAGGAGGAAGGAGGAAGCATCAGGGACTCGAGATAATGGCCGAGAAAAGTAGCACGAGCTGTCAAGGGGGAAATCAGAGGGAGGGGACTAAGTCTGTGTCCTGGGGCGGAAGGGATGGGGTTGAGGGGGGGGGAGGGGCTGAAGGTGGCACGCACTTTGTACCCTTTTGAAGGTTCACCCCAGCTTCCGTCCAGGTTTAATCAAGGAGAGAGAAAAAAAGTTAATTATACATTCCTATAAATGTACACCGTTGTTTTCCCTCTAGAGTTTGTTCTTCCCGGGAACCCAAATGGAAGAAGGAATTTTAATTGTGTTGCTATTTAAACAAAAGGAGAAAAAGCTCAGCATCTGAATGCAGTTCTGGCTTTAAAGGCCAGCGGGGAGACGGGGCTGGGCCAGGCTGCCTCTTCCAGAAACAGCGTAGAAAGGCAACAGGTCGTGAAAAGTGTGAAAGCATATGAAGTCACACGCCAGGCGTTAACCATGACATCCATGCCCTGATGGCTCAGCTCAGCTCTGCCCAGTTATCAGATGCCACCTCTGGCTGTGAGGTCCGTGCTGCCGAGTGGCCCACCGCCTCCTGGCTGTAAGAGGACAGACCAGTCTCACCTTCATCAGGGAGGTAGTCATCCACACAATGCCAGAATACCCCGCCGCCGATTTCACCAGAGGCCACCCGACCTTCACAATTAACTGGGTGGTTCAGCTCCGGAACAGGCTTCTGCCTCCCACCTTGCACATGGACGCTTGGTGCTCAGGGAGCCCAGCAATCCCGTATTCCTGGAAGAAGGGACTTGCCTGAGGCCATGGTTCAGCAACCTGCTTTTCCCTCTCTGTTTCTCCCTTCTTTCCAAATATCAACATGGGGGGGAGGGGAGAAATGCCACGCTCAGGGTCTCCCAAGGGAGTGCCAGCGGTTGAAGGCCTCCACCTCCATCGCCAGGCCTGTAGCCCCTGAGCTATATAACAATAACCACAAAACAACGGCTGTCATAGTCAAGCCCTCAGAAGACAGCATTTATTTATATTGCGGCTATATGTAACTCCGATGTTGAATACATTCTGCAAGGGAAACAAGGGCATAAGAATAGCAGAACAATAAATGAAAAGGAACAGAATAAGAAGTTGATGTAAATAACGTCAGTTCCAACTCTCTTCCAGAGAGAGGGGTGCAGCACAGGGCCTGTGATAAATCATCTATTCATCCCCAGCGATTCTTGAGAAGCCCCAGTGCTGCCGGCAAGAACAGGACCCGTCTTGGGTTTCCACACCATAAAGATGGCATGATCTGATTATGCTTCGGCAATATTTAAAAAAAAAATGCTCCAGTACAAAGTAATGTATTATTACTTAATTTTGAATTTAAGCAAATATGTTTATTGGTAATGAAGAACACACACACCACCACCCCCCCCTTTCTCCAGTCTGCCCTAGAGCCGTCTCCAACAAACACAAACTGCTTTTTAAAATATGAGGTCTTTTTATGGACGGGCGGGAAGCTTTAATTAGATATCCAGCACTCTACAGAACAAGATGGAGCACGCAGGCTTGCGGTACCATCTCTGCGATTCAGATCTCAAAAATAACATAATGCCACCAATTTAAGGAAGAAGTTGTTTATTGGAGGGAAACCGGGGAGACGCTACAAATGAGCTCAAGATGTGAAAAGCAAGAAGATTCATGAAAAGAGCTGCTGTTTTTATCTTAGGGCCCTCCCAAAGCAGCACGTGTGGCAAGGTTGTCTGCTCTAGATAGTGTCAATTTTCATAATATATTAAAAGTGTTATATATTTAAAACAGGGTACTGGACATCCACATACACTTTCTGTTTTGAGTTGTAGCATTCCTTGTATGTGGTTAGTCATTTTGTACATTGATACTTGTGCGTTTCTGAATGCTAGCTTCATCCCAATAGGACCAAAATACGGCCTCATTGGAATGGACTGAAGAATTCCTCAAAGACTCTGTGGTTTTTCTGTTGTAAGACTTCCACATGATTTGTATGCAGGTTAGCATTTGAGATCAACTCTTGATGGGATTAAATGAGTCTTTCCATGTTATGAGAACAGTGCCTGACACTTAATGAGCAGCGCATTAATGAATATTTTTTAAATGAGTACCATAGGCTATTGCCAAGATATACAAAGTTTAATGTGGGCCAAAAGAAGCATGCCCATGTCTCTCCAACAAATAAACCCTGCTTAACCCTTTGTCCAGACTCTCACTCAGACTGCCAAGCCCTTTATGCTCTGGCTTCTTCCTTCCTTTCCTCTGTATCTATTCTCCATGAGCACCATGTCTCCAGCCTTCCCAGTTCTCAGAAAGGGAATTGCTTTTTCACACCTCTGAGCCTTTGCCCATTCTGTTCCCTCTGCCTGGAACTGTCACCCACCCCTTTTCTCCACTTCCTACACCTTGCACCCTCCTGAATTTCTACTTACCCTTCAAAGCCCAGCTCTAGTGTCACCTCCTCTGTTCTGCTCCTTCCCCAGCCCATCAGAGCCAGGCATTCTCCGGACCCAAACACCCTGGCACACATCACTTACAATGTTTATCATGGGGTGTTTTTTTATTCAATGGAAGTGTAATTGACATCAAATATCATAGGGTCTTATAACTGTTTAGTGTCCCATTTTCTCCCTTTGCAACATAAACTCCTAGAGGACAAGGGTTTTATTTTATTCAAATTTCCATGGATGCCACTCATCATTGAGGTTGCAAGCAGGCAGCTCAAGGGCTTGCACCACAATCTTGAATGTTGTTTTTACACAGGCCCTTTAAGAATATGAATTGGCTGAACGTTTGAAAATTGAGAGCTCTGTGTAACAATTTTATTGAGGGATAAATTGCATACCATAAAGTTCACCTGCAATACATGGTAATTCAGTGATGTTTAGTGTATTTATAAAGGCAGGCAACCATCACCCCAACCCACTTTTAGAATATTTCCATCACTCCCAGAAAGTTTTCTCGTATGCATTTGCATTCAGTCACATTCTAATTTCCAGTCCTCGGCAACCAATGATTTGCCTTTCCTAGAAATGTCATATAAATGGAATCAGACAATGTGTAGTCTTTGTCCGGCTTCTTACACTCAGCCTGTTGACCCATGCTAAATAGTATTCTAGTATGCAGGTACACTACATTTTCTTTATGCATTTACCAAGTGATGAACACTTCATTGTCCAGATTTTTTGCTATTGTAGATAATGCTGCTATGAATAAATATTTACATACAGTATGTCACTGGGTGGAATTGTTGAGTCTTGTCGTAACTCTAAGTTGAACATTGTAAGGAACTGACCATTTGTTTTCTGAAGTGACCGTACCATTTTGCATTCTCAACAACCAGGTCATAAAAGGAACAAGACCAATCCCCCAGAAGCCTTCTTGTGCCCCAAGGGTAGCCGCTCCTGACTCCTTATAACATACTTCCTCTACTTCAGCTTCATGTCAATGGGATCATACAGAGTGTGTGCTTCTGCACCTGCCTTTTTCACTTGCAGCATGAATAGGAAAGAAAAAGAAACTGTGTTTGAGCAGCTCAAATGTTCTAACAAGTGACTCAATTAACTATGAGGAAACCAAGACTGTTAGTGAAGAGATAACCTACCAGTCATTAACTACCCACTTGTCCTTCAGCCATGGGCAATCAAGAGACATGACCAGCAGGACTAGTAACAAGTATACTTTCTCATAAGAGATATTCCAATATTTTAAAGTCAAAGCCACCTGACCATCAAATGCACGGACACAAATGCATGCCCGTTGTGTTGCCTGGAGTGGGATCTCAATGCCCCTGCTGGGCCAGGCCTTCGCCTTCAGCTGCTGGACTAGAAGGAGGTCTTGGGCTGGGTGGTGGGTTCCTCAGAGAGAAGCTGGGATGAGCAGGGCTCCGAGGCTCCAGGCAGTGGCAGGGTACCTGTCATTGCAGAATAAGCTCAGCATTTTAACATCTGCACAGAGTGCTGGCTGGATGGTAGCACTGCTCTTTGCCATGACTATGAAGGTGGGGTGGCCTCTGGTGAAATTGGCCGTGGGATATTCTGGCATTGTGTGGATGACTACAGCTCAAGTGGGGTATCTGTCCTGACGAAGATGAGACTGGTCTGTCCCCTTACAGTCAGGAAGAGGTGGGCCACTCGGCAGCACAGACCCCACAGCTGGAGGAGGCATCTGATAACTGGGCAGAGCTGAGCTGAGCCGTCAGGGCATGGATGTCAAAGCAGCCAACGTTTATTTCCTTAGGACAGTCTTGCAAATAAAGCTTTACTCAGCTCCAGCTCACAGTCCTTTTTAACTGTCTAACCCTGCTTCAAAATCAAGGACAGTTAGTAATTATACAAAAATTAAAAATTAAAAATAAATGGAAGCAGGATAGGGAAAGTCGATTCAAGACTCAAGATTGACACTCTCCCAGAAATAGCAGCCCTGTACTCACTCCAACATCCACTTCCTTGCCTGCCTGGGCTGTAGAGATCATCAAAGCTAATGGTTCACTTTTCCAGCCTCCTTTGCAAGTAGAGGTGGCCATATGATCCAGTATGGCCAGTAAGATTTGGGTGGAATTCAGCTGGAGTGGTGCTAGGAGGCTGTGTATGTTGGGGGAGGGGGGTTGGGGAAAACTCTTACTTTTCTGGCACAAAGGGACAGCTGCAGCTGTTTCTGGCCTCCCTTTCTTCCTGCCCTGATTGGGCATCATGCCTGGAATAGGAGCTGCCATCTTGCAACCACCAACGAGAGACCCAGGGAATCACAGCAGTGCTGGCTCCAGACCTCTTGAGCTGCTGAACAAATGCTAACAGCTGCCTGCTCCAGACGTC